ACAAGCACGTTACTGAGCACAAGCACGTTACTGAACCCAAGCACATAACTGAGCCCAAACACGTAACTGCTCACATTACTGAGTGTTTGAAGAACCTCGGAGACGAAGGAGGTCCAGGATGTCATATAGACACGGTGCCGCGGGCAACGAACACAACTACACAACGTTATTATAACAATTCCATGCAATGAAGAAATTAAGGGAACCGCATGAAACGTTGGCAGGAAAATGTAAACATTGTAGGAGCAGTGTGGGAGCCTGAGTGAGATCCCGTTTTCTCGTGTGGTGTCATCAACAGAATTTTTGAAACCTCTAGGATAAGTTCAATGCTAAACTCCCCTCAGAGGACTGGACAAATAAGCTAACCAACGCTCGGGGCAAAAACTATTAGTGGTGAATATTTGTCGTGTGTCGGACAGCTGTTGATATATTGACAAATAATGCATTAGGACCTTTTTCCAGCGAGGCGCTTAGGGTAAGCGTGGCTTAAGAGGAACGCTGGAATGTGACTAACCGTTGAGTGACCTGCCCTGAAGATGGCGTGGGCGACACAAGAGAGTGGAGGCCTAGTGGTGACCTCCAGCCTCCCACTCATCTCTCCCACCACCTCCGTCACCATACCCGACCTCGATACCGTGTTGGAGAACTCCAGTTACACGGATAACTGGCAAAACTGCACAGAGCCTCTGGGACACGTTGACTTTACGGACATAGGAATGTTATCGTCGCTGACCATCCTGGTGCTCGTCAACGCTCTGGTTGTGGCCGGGAACTGCCTGGTGATTCTAGCGGTGTTCCTGTCCAGCAAGCTCCGCACAGTTACTAATCTCTTCATCGTCTCCCTGGCCGTGGCTGACCTCCTGCTGGGGATGGCTGTGCTGCCCTTCAGCGTGACGGTGGAGGTCTTCGACACCTGGCTCTTCGGCGAGCTCTGGTGCTCCGTCTGGCTGGCTGTGGACGTGTGGATGTCCACGGCCTCCATCCTCAATCTCTGTGCCATCAGCCTCGACCGGTGAGTATACGATAACCCATTACACCTTCCATAATCTAGCAATGAACAAAGAGCAATGTGTCCTTCAATCGTCATTGTCCTTGACGGTCTTTGGGAACCGCTCTCCCTCGATGTGCTCCTAGACATCCTCGCTACCGCTCACAATGCGCTCTAAACAGCCCAATAAACTCGCCCCTCTGGGCAAAATTGAATTTAAAAAAAAAAAACACTTTGACACATCTAAACCATTCTCTCAAACTTTCATTCTCAGGCCAATAACTCACTCGCTTTCTAGCCTTCATCCTGTGGGGGGATCCAACAATTCAATTTATTAGGGTAGTTAAAAAAATAATTTAATTACAAGACAACACCCGAGTGTCCGAACGTTGCGGAATGTGCAACATTGTGTTTCAACAATGCAGCTTTTGTTGACATACCAACCATACCCTGCCTAGCATTTCTGCCAGATCTTCCGGGGCGCCTTTGTGTCCCACCACACGCCTAGATCTCACTCACACTACTCACCCAGGGGCGCCTTTGTGTCCCACCACACGCCTAGATCTCACTCACACTACTCACCCAGGGGCGCCTTTGTGTCCCACCACACGCCTAGATCTCACTCACACTACTCACCCAGGGGCGCCTTTGTGTCCCACCACACGCCTAGATCTCACTCACACTACTCACCCAGGGGCGCCTTTGTGTCCCACCACACGCCTAGATCTCACTCACACTACTCACCCATCCAGTTTCTGTTTAACAGGATGGTAACAGTTTCTGGCTTTAACCTACCGAAGGGAAAGAGAGTCGAGCTGTAGTTCTAGACCCTTAACTCCCTCTACTTCCTCCCACCTCATCTCTACCCTATTTCTGCCTACACACAGTGGGGTCTTGCCTCGCACCTCTGCCATTTTCTTTTTCATATAAATACTGCATACGACCTACAGGACACTGCAGATCCTGTACACAGATCCTGTACACAGATCCTGTACACAGATCCTGTACACAGATCCTGTACACAGATCCTGTACACAGATACTGTACACAGATCCTGTACACAGGTCCTGTACACAGATCGTATACACGAGACCAGCACACGGACCACGCACATGGGTCACGCTGCTCGGGTTACTACTGCCCATAAATCAAGGCGGCAACAGACGATCATCTTGGAGTAAGATAACGCGCCCCTCCGCGTTGTGTTTACAAACACACACCAGTACGGCATCACGCCCGCCTCCTTCCCCACACACACACATATATATATATATATATATATATATATATATATATATATATATATATATATATATATATATATATATGTCGTACCTAGTAGCCAGAACGCACTTCTATGCCTACTATGCAAGGCCCGATTTGCCTAATAAGCCAAGTTTTCATGAATTAATTGTTTTTCGACTACCTAACCTACCTAACCTAACCTAACCTAACTTTTTCGGCTACCTAACCTAACCTAACCTATAAAGATAGGTTAGGTTAGGTTAGGTAGGGTTGGTTAGGTTCGGTCATATATCTACGTTAATTTTAACTCCAATAAAAAAAATTGACCTCATACGTAATGAAATGGGTAGCTTTATCATTTCATAAGAAAAAAAATAGAGAAAATATATTAATTCAGGAAAACTTGGCTTATTAGGCAAATCGGGCCTTGCATAGTAGGCATAGAAGTGCGTTCTGGCTACTAGGTACGACATATATATATATATATATATATATATATATATATATATATATATATATATATATATATATATATATATATATATATATATATGTATGTTTTGTCTCCGCCTCCACCGGGATCGAACCCGGAACCTCAGGACTACGAATCCGAAACGCTGTCCACCCAGCTGTCAGGCGACCTCCATTATATGCTCCTTGATGGAGCCCTGTTGTTTGTGCATTATTAATAATCGCCTAGAAAGAGACGTTGTTGTCTTGTCTATATACCGAGATATTTGGGGCTGACAGTCCCCAAGTGGACATGTCAAGGCATAGACGACGTTGGTTTCTTTCAAGGCGTTCTGTTTGGTGTCTGGAGAGTTCTTTATGAGTAGGTTGGCCGTTTTCTTGTGTTTGTAGTCAATTGTTAATTGTATCATCTGATTTGTGTCTGTGGGGATAACGTTGCTATTATAAATATCTTTCAGGACACTTTCCTCTGTTTTGTGAGCCGTCGAAAAGAAGTTCCTGTAAAGCAGTCTAATAGGAGATACAGGTGTTGTGTTAGTTGACTCTTCAGAGGTTGCATGGCGTTTCACCTTTCTTTTGATGACGTCTGCTCCAGGAGGCTGGGGTCGTTCTTGATGGGGCTGTTCTCCGGCCCCGACCACGGCGGTCTCCTTCTTTTACCAACTTCGAGGTAAACTTCGGAGCTGGAGCCCCCTAGGGGCAGTTCGTTGTTGCCTTCAGCCTCGTTCTGACAGTTCCTGCGACGGCGCTGGAACCAATCGAATTGGCGTTTGGAATTCCATTGGAGACTTTCGGCGTCGTGGAGAGG